CCGACTAAGCCTAAATCTGTACCTTTGCCTGTGTTCTGACCAGGACCAGGACCTCAAACCCGCAGGCTGCAGCAACACATCCATCCCAGCTCACACCTAATTAACTGCTTAATTAGAGCAGCACTGGGGAAACTCTGCTTTTTGGTTTCCCTTTCTCTCTGGTGCCTGATGCCACCCGTGGCAGGACTACGGTTCGGCATGAAGCGCTCAGAGCAGCTGAGCCTTCCTGGAGATGCATGGCAGGTTCAAGGTGAAGGTCTCCTCTGCCAGGGCTTTTCCTCTCTCTTCTGAGATAACTGACCTTGACTCCACCACAAAGCTCTGCTCCAGGTCGCACCACTCACACTGCAGCCAATTACCATAGCTGGAGCTGGGGATTAATGCTTGCTTGTTTAATTTGGAAGAGCAGTATGAAGGTCACTGAGGAAGGTAATGCAGTACTGTTGATTGAACATGTGGATAAGGGCACCACAAAAACATAATCTACTTTGTTGGGGATGTGATAAACCAGGTTTATGTATGCAGTTGGCAAGCAGTACTTCTGAGTGTTACTCCATCAGATAATCCAAACGGCAGAGAAATTATATATCCCCCCAGTCCCCTAATATGGCTTTAATATAAGGATTAGGTAATTTTCATATTTGTAGGGTTTTCTAAAACAGTATTAAAAGTAACCCTTATTTATTTCCTACTTATTTCCTGATTTTTATTCATGAAATACTTCTTTCTGTAACTAAGCAAAGGTAGATTAACGGGAAGACTTCTGATATTCCAAAGGGCAAAACACCAGTGGGACAAGCCCTCTTTTTCCATCCAGAGTAAGATGTCCAGAAACTCCAGAAGACTAACTGGTGTTTGCAGACAGACACAGAGCAGCTTCACTGCATATGTGCAGATGGGTGAGGTGTCCTTCGTGAGACTCACCTCATGCACAAATCCCAGGTGGTCTGTGGATGGGCAGGAAACTTGCTGTATGGGTCTACCCAGCCCAGCCATGACAGCACATACCAGGGAGTTCGGGTCTCTTTATGACAGTCCTGCCCAACACTTTGTGACAAGGACCCCTGGCTCACTGTCCTGCAGCGGGCAGGGCTGTGAGAGGGAAGGAAGGAAGTGGTTGTGGTGTTAAGGTATCACTGATGTGATCTAAGGGAAGCTTCTGCAGATGGAGGCTGCAGATTCTTTGTGCTGCCAGCCTGTGGCCTCAAGCAGGCCCTGTCTTCTATCTCCTGGGATCAAGGTCCTGAGTCAAAGCTGAAACAGGGTTTATGTGATTCAGCTGCTAGGCAGAGGGATGCCTTTCTGACCAGGGAACATCCTGTCTCCACATACTTGTTGTCAGGTGTGAAGTGACTCAGTATCAAATTCTCAGCGGTACTCTGGCAATTTTACATTCTTCCTGAAAATAAAGGACCCAGGGAGAGCTGTCACTCATGCTGCGCCACTGTGGGCTTGGGAGAGGGTGATGATGGACCAGACACCAAGGACCACATTGCCTGTCAGTTTAAAATGCCAGATCATTTAAAGAGTGGTTGGACTTTTTTTTTTTTTTATTTCTTCTCTGGAAAAAAAGTTTTTTTCTCTCTATTTCTTCCTATTAATCTTATTAGAGCTGTTTCATTTGTTTACTTTTTGCATTTTACAAAATATCCTCTGAAGGGACATGCAGGCAACATGCATAAACGTATGCCTGACTACAAGCATAGGTGGTTAAGTGGTTCTTGTGCTTAATGACAGAAGCACCTGTCTGATGAGAGGAAACCACTAGCTAAGGCACTGCCATCACCTGATTTATCAGCATCACCTCCTCTTACCTCCTTGGCACTGGGATGCTTGTACCACTGAGGAAAGGTTTTTAATTATGTAGGAAATTCTCTGAGGAATGCAAAGGTGCTAAGAGCACATTAGCACAGGATACAGCACATAAAACCCCAGGACTGACAGAGACCTCTAGGTTCTTCTTTCATTCCAAGGGTAACAGTTGTGTCATCTTTCTCTACCCACCTCACTGGGTCTTTCAGACCCTTTCATTCTCATTCTCAATGGAAAAACCTTGCAGTCTCAGGACATGTCAGGCAAGGTTTTTCTAACCCAGAAAGAAAATTATGAATGCCATTGAAGAGGGCACTGATGAGGTCTCCTTCAGAATAGTGTGTCCAGGTCTGGTCATCCCCTGCTCCAGAGAGATTAACTCCAGCAGAAACAGATGCAGAGGATAGCTGGAAGATGGAGAACCTATGTGACAAGAAGAAATGAGAATTGTGACTTATTATCTGGCAATGTGAAAGGGTAAGAGTGAATTCTTGCTCCGTTTGAGCATGGATTCAAAATTGGTTTAAACCGGTGGATGTCCAGGCTGTTAGCACACAGCTTTTTGACCTCTCTCTGCTTGTGCTACATAGTCCTAATACCCCCCTTGGCCCAATGCTTATGCTTGGATAACTGTGGGATCAGGGATCTTTTCTGGGTTAATTTTCAACTAGATGAACTTTCCAAGACTGAGCACCATTAGTGTGAGCACTAGTGCAGTACAAAGGAAGGAGTGTGACCATATTGTCGAGAGCAGAGATGGAGGATGTGCCTGTGCCACTGGCTGGGGAGAGGTGAGGGAATGCTTGTTCAGCAGCAGGTTACACATAGAGTCAGCTTAAGCTAAGCATGAAACTGGAACAGAGGTTAACATCATCCAGGGAGAACTATTTAATCTACGGTACAAGGCTGGCACAAGAACAAGTGGACATACGGCTATGAATAAAATTAGACTGGAAATTAAAAGGCTTCTATCCGTGAGAGGAGTGGGGTTCCAAAATACCTTTCCAATGTGAGCAGGGGGATTCAGAAGAAGTCAAAGAAGTGTGAGATTGAGCTTAAAGGAGATTTACATGACACAGTTGCTGTGATAATGAGGAACCTGGACCAAAGACCCAGGAGGTATATTTTTAACCTATCTCCCATGCTTGCTTTCATTTTGACTTTCTCTGCTACTCTCCTTTCTCCTCTGCTTTCCTGTTCCTTTTTCTACATGGATGACAGGCTGGAAAGTCTGCTCTGTGCATTTTCTCTGTTGTTGTTACATCCATTCAACAGAACAAGGCAAAGGCAAATCCTGTTCTGGTGCATCTCAACGGGCCGACTGAAGTCCCCAGGCAGAGCCAGCGTGGGGCTGACCTTCAGGGCACAGGACCAGGGGCTGTGGGAGGCCACGCTCCCCTGATGACACAGCAGAGTCCTTACCCTCTTGGTGCATGGCTGGTTCCCCTTGCTGCTGTGACACAGACACACTCGTGACTTAGCAGGCCACTCAGCTGCAAAGCGCTTGGTTTCTGCTTGGGGAAGCCAATGGCACAATATCTACCAGAGAAGGTTGTTGAGGGATTAGTTTCATTTAGAGGATGAGGTGCCCTGAGTTGTTCAAATGCCTGCATAAACCACTATGTTTCTGTGGAGCAGAAAGGTCCGAGATGCATGTACAGCTGTAACGAACTTCACTGTTAACATGATGTTCTGTTTATTTGGACATGGAGAGGCTGACCAGGCAGCACTTGCTGGGGGAAGCAGGAGATGCCTTCAGAGCCTGGAACCAGGAGCTGCAGGGCAGCTGCACCCTGCCCAGCCGTTGGCACTAACTGTGAGTATCCATCACTTTTGGAGTCCGGTCCTCACATGCTCAGCAGGGCTGGTCTGAAGCAAAGCAGCAGTGTCAGGGTTCCTTTGCTGTACCAGAGGCACCATCAGAGCGCGCAATTACATCCTGCACCTCTAGGCTCTGAAACTGAGCTTCCTGAGAGCAGCTTGTTTTAATGTATAATAAATACAAAGAGGGACTCTTTGGCAGGGGGTATAATGCTTCCTGGCACTGGCTGCTTCATTTGCACTGGTGCCCTTGCAGTGACTATTTTACAGCTTGCAAAAGAATTGCTTGGTTTTCACAATATGCCGTTCTGTAAAAAGTAAACATGTCTTGCAAAAAGTTGATCAGTTAATACAAAACCAAGTAATATAGATGCTAGATAGACCAAGTCACTTTTTTCTTCTAGTGCACTACTGCAGCAAATGTTTAGGTCATGGGCAGTCACCTGAAAAGTTGTCACAGCTCTATTAGTTGGCATTAGTGACTTCATTTCACAGAAAGAAAACCATTGCTCTTCACAGTTCAGGCTGTAATTCCACAAGAACCTCAGCCATGTATCATCTCGTTGCCATGGTCATGTTCTTCCTCCCACCTTGGCCATGGGACCCTGCATCCTTCCTCAAACATCTTCAGTACTAACCTGCCCCAGTGCCCAGCCATTTCAGCATCATAAACTGGCAGAAAACTAATCACCTTTTTTTTTCCAGGCCAAGGAAGGCATGTCTGAAGTCACAGGATCTGGCCAGAGAGCAGCCAAGCCTGAGGAACCTGCAGTTAGATGGGTTCAGGCTCATGAGAACCAACAGCATCCACATGCTGCTCATAGTTTGTAGAGAACAAATTTAAGGAGTCCCGTGGCTTAGTTCAGCTTCGGTGTGACCGTGCTGAAGCTTTCCTGAATTTAGCTCCTTTTGGTGCAACCTGGCCATCAGAGATGATATGCGCCTATGTACATCCCCATCTAAATACAGTATTAACAACTGAGTGAAGAGGAATATTAGAACTACTGCAGTTTCCCTCTCTTGATCAGTGTTCTGTGGGTTTTCCCTTGTCAGAACAATAAGTTAATACTTTTTAAGATGAAAGCAGAATACAAAGTGGAAACTTCCAAAGTGTCTTTCACTTGTGTTCTGTCCTGGTTCGGCCGAGAATAGAGTTCACGTTCTCTTTCGGTAGCCGGAGCAGTGCTCCCGCACACCGCCACCTCGGGGCCTCCCCGACTGCCCGTGCCCTGCCTCTGCGCAGGCGCACAGGAACAGGGGCGGGAACACAGCTGGAGCGCCGGGTTCGGATTGGCCGATGCCACATGTCATGTGACATTACGCTCACTGTATAAAGGAAGGAGCGGGCGGGAAGGGGTGCGGTCTCACTTCCGGGATCGTTGAGGTGTCTTCTCTGTGTTTCAGGATCAACAGGCGGGGGGGGTCGGCCGGCGAGCAACTGCATTGTACGTTACCCGTTTATACTGTCACGGTATTATTTTATCGCTCTTGTTAAACTGTTTTTATCTCAACCGCGAATCTCCCTTTGCCCCTCCCCATTCCCAAGTGGGGGAGGGTGGGCAAACGGCTGCGTGGTGTTTGGCTGCCGACCAGGCTCAAACCACAACAGTTCGCGTAAATTATAATATTTTATCTACCAGTAAACCTGGGCCTTCCTTTTTCTTCCTGTAGATTTTAGATTCCACAGTCAGCACCGCAATGCAAGATGCGTGCTGTTGTCCTGCCCACTCTAATGCAGCCCGCGCTCCATCAGTCCCACAGAACCTAACAGGTCAGTATCCTACACTGGTACCTCTTTCACCATCAGTGGCCAGGGGAAGGGGCTGCCACCTGGAAGTGCCTCTGACAGAGGCAGGAGAATGTGACTAGGCATCCCATTGGCACTGTGGTCCATCTGAGTGGCTAATGAATATTCAGAGCCTTTACAGTTTTTTTCCTTTTTTTTCTTTTTTCCTTCAGAAGTTTCTGATGAGATTTAATCTTAGACAAAAACATTTTATTTACAGCTAATGAACACAGAATCTTGTTTGTCTGATTGCAGTAAAAATAAAAAACATTCAGGCCGTTTTCACACCCCAAATCTGCCTGTATTCTGTGCCCATAGAGCTTCCTGCTGAATCCTTCTCAGGGATATTCTTCCAACATCTACCATGACTGTTTGGGCAGGTTTTGCTGTTTTTTCTCACACACGTACACACACACACACACACACACACACACACATTGAACTTCTGTTGGTTTTGGCCAGAGAATCCCTGGTTGACCCATCATCAGGCCCAGAGGTTGGCCCATTGCATTGGATGGCTGTTACTTTTATCAGGGATTTCACTCTATAAAGGGTCTTAACTGAGCCTGAAGGAAATGTTCTCAGTGCTTTAATCAGATCTATGATTTTGGGTAAGAAAGACATATTAATGCCTGCTGGTATTACTAGTTCTCTTGCAGCAATGGGTAAAGTATCAGATCTTAGAGAAGCACTTACCAGCTGTGATATACTTCTCATAAAAATCTGAGCCTATAAATAATGAAGTCCTTCCCTTTCTGGACCATCCTTGATTATCATAATCCAGAGGTATCATTACAACCTGCAGGATGTATCCATGCACATAAAATTTTGCATGGTGTCAAAATATCCTATGCAGTTGGAGGGTTCATGTAATAAAAAAAGGAAGAAATTGTCCAGCATGGTGGAAATCATCTGCTTAAAATGAATCATGATTGAATGAACTGCCTGAGGAGTAGAAGGAGCTTGAAAAGTCAGCAGAGCCTATGTTCTGGGTGCAAAGTGATATTGTCTACTGATCTGTGCAGAAATGTGCACATTTATATATTACTTATATGTGGGAAGGCATGTCAGCTGAAGAGAAAGAATAGCTGGTACTCTATCAGTTTAGACCTGATGAATACCTGTCCAGAAGCTAATCTAATATCTGTGTGCTAGATGCCCTGACGTAATGCCCAGGCCACAGAGCAGTCTGTAATTGACTTTTTGGTGAAGGGCTGTATTTACTGAGGCAGATTAAGTATGAGACAGAAGAATGTGGGGAAGAATTCAGCAAAATGTTTCTGATAGCTCAGTGGGCTGAGTGAAGCTATAGATACGTTTGTCTGCAGACCTCATTGTTGCTCCATCCTGAGACCACATTCATGGCTGTTCTGCCTCAGCAGGCTTCCCCTCACCTTCTGAGGTCTTCTCCAGACATGGGCAATGCTGCTTCAAAAGCTGACTGCCCAGCCACTCGGCTGGCCATCGTTCGTGTGGCATCAGCGTGTAGTGCCTTTGCAGCCACCGGCTTCTGGACCTCTTGTATGAGGTTGCTGTTTCAGTTTTAATAATGTGGGAACAGAACAAGCCATGGATCTGTAGATGGTTTCCTGTGCTCTTCTGCCTATTCCTCATTGGACTGTAGTTTTACAAGTACAGTTTCATTAGAAAAACCTGCAGTGGAGATTGCCTTCCTACTCTCTCCTGTTTACATCATGCTGCTTATGTGTGCTGGGCAGAATAGTCTTTTTCTTCTCTGCTTTCCAGTATCAGACCTTTATAGATGCATAGAGGCCACTTCGCTTTAAGTTTACAGTGTCTCTGTAGGAGGGAAAGTAGGGTTAAAGCAGTTCATTTGGGCTCAAGAACACTGGGATCAGTTCCTCACTTAATATGCAGATAATTTGGTTAATTTATTTTTTCTCAAGTGTCTTTTTTTAAATGGGGATAATGACATTTAGGTATGTAGGATCACAGCAGGCCAGAGCTGATGGCTGCAACAGTGGGCATCACTATCACAGCTTTAAGAGCTTCAGCCCAGGCTTTCATGCGAATGTGGTCCAAGATGCCCACAAGACTGATACAATTTGCCCTGAAGCCTGTGCCTGCCAACTGTGCTGCTGCTGGCAGGTTGTGTGCATGTGGCTGGCTGTGTCGCAGCCTCGCCTGCGTGCCCAGCCTGTTTCTGTGGTGCTGCGGACAGGCTGGAGAACCCCCTCAGCACTCCTTGTAAATGAAGCAAGAACCAGTTGTTAAAACTCTCTGTTTTCTTAGTTATCCCTTTCTCTAAGAGAGGGCGATGTTTTGAAGAGGTAGGAGTTGCTCCAGTGAGTTGGTGATTGCGACCCAGCTAGCCTGGTATTTTGTCTGGCAGGGACACCCACCAGGCACCTAGGAAGACAAAGCAAGAAGCGGCACAGAAGGCCAATGGTGGTAATCCGCCACCAAGAAAAAAAACATTCCTAATACCCCGTGGTGAGATATTACACAGACTGTGATTTATATTCCCTCCAAAACTCTGAGTTTGTGCTTATGATATACTTTTAACCCATTAAAGTGCCTAGTCTCCCTTTGAATCTACACTTTGATTCTACTCTCCGTTTGGATAACAGCATGTGACAATGAGTTCCCCCGTCTAATTATTAATTAAGTGAAAAAATATTATTTGAAAGGCTTTGAATTATGACACCTTCCATTTAGTGAATATCCTCTGAATCTCTGATGAGAATATTCTACCCTTTCTAGATCAGTTCTACAGGACTTCGGAAGAATACCCACGTGCTGTATGAACTTTTCAGTATTATGTTTTCTTTTGGAGACTTAGTGTTGAAATGGAATATAGTAAAGTTGTGGTGTTTTTTTTTTTTTTGTTTTTTTTTTTTTTTTTAAAGGAAAAAAGTAATATTTTTCCTACCATGGCCAATGCTTGTTCAAACTGGAAGGAAAAGGAACTTTTTTTTCACTTAAAATCTAAATTTTTCCTCAGGTGTAGCTGCTTGGTTTCTTCTTCAGTCAACCCGTGCCTGGCACAGGCATATACAAATGCATATGAAGAAATTTCTATTCCTTCTGATGAGGTCGGTACCATGTTTTGGAAACTAACTGGCACTGACATTTCAAATGATGGAAACAATTAGTTTTGACTGATTCACATGATTCTTAATCCTAAATTATGAAACTTCAGAGATTGAAGACGTACTTGAACATAATATTAGAGTATTACCTGTTTGATCTTCTATCTTGCCTTAACTGTTGACTTCTTTAGCGCTATATTTAGTCTCTGGTTCAAGTACATGCCCACATACTATAATGTTGAATCAGTTCCTTAAGGAGAAAGACATGTTTTCAGAGCTGGAATCAAGTCAGTGTGACTAGAAGTACTTGAATATACACTGCATTTGGAGTTCATCTGGGTTTGCTTCTTACAGACATTCTTTTCCCTTACAGGTTTCTAGCCTGTTCATTCACATGGATTGGGTATTTTCAGTAGCTGCTTGGAAAACAGGGTGACTTAGGTGGGCTGCAGAAGATCTAAGGTTTAGATTCAAGAACATTTCAGTGTTTGCCTACTGAAGACAAGGAGCAAAAGAGCAGGGATTAATTTATTCAACAGTGACTATAAACACATTTTATTCTCTGCTCATAGTCACCCAGTTCATTCAGAAACCAGAGAAGCAGGAATTTCTGATGAGAAAAGCTGTTCTAGGTCCCCTAGGTCTCCTCTGTGCCAACAGCAGGTCAGAAATGAGGAAAAATTGACACCTGCATGGGAGTTTCAGGTACTGGCTACCATGTACACTTTAAACTTAAATAAGCTCAGTTTTTTCTGGTGCAGAGGCTGACTTTGAATGTCCTTGAAGTCTGGTATTATGCATTCTGGTAAGCAAGCAGAGAAATGAGACAGATGCATCAATTTAGTCATAGAGGGAGGTTTCTAGTAAACTTTTGCACAACAGGGTAGTGACAGTGTACTTAGTAAAGCCACATGCTTTTTTAAAAATAGTGTTATCGATTTTGTTAGTGTGTGTATCAAATGTTAGCACATTCATTAGAACAGCAGCCTTCCAAACACTGCTGTAGAACAACCAGCAAGCCCAGAGTCAATATCCATCTGAATACTGGCTCACTTTCAAAGGGCAACTTAAAATTAGGGCATTGACTTTTCATGTTATAGAGGAAAGATTTTAAAGGGAGCATTTATCAGATAGAGTTAGGCAATATTTATCAAGTACAGCTGGGCTGCAGGTCCTGTTTGAGGAGGCAAAGATATGTGCATACAACTATGTACAGCACTAGCAAAACAACACAAAAGATGTTCATACATATATATTAAATGTCTAGGGTAATGGTCTAGTATAGATACATGAGAATAAAGAGGAAGACATTTATCTAAGGAGACCTTCAGTTCTAAACTGTGTTCTAATCCTGTGTGGGTATATTGAAACATCACTAAGTAGGAATATAATGTATTACAGTGATTAAATAGACACTGTGTCTATGTCCTTATAATGTAATTTTTGTACAGCGCTGTGAACAAGGAGCACATTAGGACAAATATATCCTTTGTTGACAGTAAGTTTACAGCAACAAAATACAGTTCATTGTGTCTGTTGTAAAAAAGTTAATATAGTAAAATCAACTTTTTTCTCTCTCTCCTTGTAAGGATAAGAGGTAAGTGAAGGTCATTCCACTTCTCATAGATTCACTACGAATTTGTGACTGACCTGTTTTTACTTTTTCCCTTTTGTGTCTGTTCATGCAATTCTTCAAACTTTCATGATCCCTGAGAAGGCTCTGCAGAATGGGTTTAGTACCTGTTGTGCACATCTCTATTCTTAATGTAAACCCATGAAGATGATTTATGTCTCTGGGGAACAAATGTTCCCACCATCAGGGCACTGCTTGTTTCCTCCACTAAACTGATTAGGTTTATCTAATACACGTGGGCTTTATTTGGTTGGTTGTTTGTTTATTTTGGCAGGGTTTCTTTTAATATAGATAGGGTT